TTTGTTACTTAGATTTCAAATATGATTGAGATCATGTGATAGGTGTCTTTCTCTGACTGATGTATTTCACTTAGCATGATACTCTCCAGGTCCCTCCATGCAATCTCAAAGGGTAACATATTCTTTTTTACTGCTGCATAGTATTCCAGGTATAAATGTACCAAAGCTTTTTATCCACTCATCTACTGATGGGCACTTGGGCTGTTTCTAGATCTTAGCTATTGTAAACTGTGCTGCTATGAACATAGGGGTGCATACATTCTTACTGATAAATATCATTTTACTTTTTATCCAATCCCAGAGGTTTCCCCACTTTCTCCCACCTCCCTAATCACCAATGGATTTCATGTAACCCACTTACATCTCCTTCTTTGACTGTAGAGTATAAAACAAGGTGAAAATCTGCCATTCTGAGGATTATCCCAATCCGTTGAGAGTCTGCTTTCCGGCAATTGTCGACAGTTTGGCTCAAAATAAACTCACAAAAATTCTTTACAGGTTTGAATGTTTCTTATGTTAATAGATGACATCGTCGCATATTTGCTTTTGAATGAACACTTTCACATGTAACCAGTGTGCCTTGTTGCATTGTCACATGATTGTCAGACACTTCTTTCACATGTTTTAGGGAAGTTGGCTGAGTCAGAGACTTAATAGCATTGTGCTTTTAGCCAGATAGTGTTAGGGTCATTTGCTAAAGGACTCTGTAACTCTCCCAAACTAAAACCTCTGTAGAACCTGGGCACCAAGTGGAAATGCCTGTGCTAGTAACAATTACTTAAAATGTATGCTGAGCCCTAGCAGGTTTGGCTCAGTGGATAGAGCATCGGCCTGTGGACTACAGGGTCCCAGATTCAATTCCAGTCAAGGGCTTGTACCTGGGTTACGGGCACATCCCCAGTAGGGAGTGTGCAGGAGGCAGCAGAATCGATGTTTCTCTCTCATCGATGTTTCTAACTCTCTATCCTTCTCCCTTCCTCTCTGTAGAAAATCAATAAAATATATTATTACACTGTGATTAAGTTACCACTTGTCATCTCCAGGGCACTGGTAAGAGCTTTTCGTTCCCCTTTCTGCCATCTGTCCCATTCCAAATAACTGATGGAAAGTAAATCCTACTCTGAAAACCAGGGTCCCAGTCCTAGCTCACTGCCAGACTTGCTCTTTAAGTTAACCTGTCCAACTCTTCATTTCTTTCTATGAAGTGGAGGGCAGACAGGAAATCACTGCTACAATGCTTAAATCTTATCATTCTATTATAAGAGAAAAATGGAGATCATCAAACACAGAAGCATGTAAAAAAAGGTGAAAGTCTATCTTTTTTAAAAAATATATATTTATTGATTTCAGAGAAGAACGGAGAGGGAGAGACAGAAACATCAATGATAAGAGAGAACCACTGGCCAGGCTGAGTCTATCTCTTAACCATTTGCCCTTGTGGTAACCATATTAACTTGGGTATATTCTTCCAGATTTTTAAAGATTAAAAAATTATGCATCAATTATATATATTATTCTAGAACTTTTTTTTCTTTTGATTTAGCAATATAGCATTTCCCTCTGACAAGTAACATAAACTTTGTCAGATTAAGGGTTTCATCACTGTTGTATTCCTAGGGACTAAAACAGTGCCTGACAAAGTTGATGCCAGTAAATGTTAACAGTGAATGGATAGAACAAATTCTCCTGCCTGTCAGACTAGAAGTTCCATGGGGTAAGGGATGTGTCTATTTGGTCTCTCTCTCTGGTCTCAGCATCAGATTACCTGGCACATAGTAAGCACTAATAAATATTTGTTAAATTAGCAAAACAGCTCAACAATGAAACCACCTAATTCTTCTTACCTGCCTCAATGTGCTGATGGACCACAATAATCAACTATTCCCCTATCAATGAAAAAAGGTTTTGCAAACATCATTGCAACGATCGTCTGTGTATAAATATACCCTTGTTTAAAGATTTCTGTGGGTAAGAATCTCCTTTGGAGGGAACCACTGATGTGGTCTACGTGTCTTCTGAAGTCGCTTCCCTCCAGGTGACTAGCATCCATGGCATGCAGCACAGCAGCAGGTTAGTCATCACCGAGGGAGGGGCAGTTTTCAGACAGTGAGGTGCACATTGTCACTGTCTGAAAACAGTCACTTCTGCCTACATAGGAGCACCGATGGAGCTTAGGGTCTGTGAGTTCTCCAAGAAGTGAGGTGGCAGAGCTCTGTCTGAGCGCCCCAATGGAAGGGCTTTCCAGAAAGCTACCTTTCTGCATATTTAATGCTTTCACTCCAAAGACACCTAATGAATTTCTATTATGTGTGAGAGCAGAGGCCACAAATAAGAAAGGCAGAGATAGTCTCCACAGTCTTGGAATGGAAGCTTAGGGACCACTG